TATGGTCGATACAATGAACTTGTCAGCAAAAGCAATCTAACATTAAGTCGAATGCTTACTGACGTTTTTCATACTAATTGTAGGCCATTAATTACACACTGAATTGTCTGCGGATTTTTCCGTTTGCCCGATCATGACAAAGAGCACCCGGCGGATGTGACATGTCGACAGGGGATGCTTACTCCTCCATGGCACTTGATCTTTTCATTGATGCTTTCAGAGGACCGTCTTTTGCTCTGTTCCAGATCTCTATTGCCTCAATGGACTTTTGAGCTTGATTACTGTTCACTCTGTCCTTATTTTATAAAGTCAATGCAGCAATGACCTTTGTATGATAAGAAGTATCAACTGTCTCCATTTATACAGCAGGAAGTCTACAAAATCTTCAGACTGAATAAATAGTTCAAAGTATTCTTTTTAGGGAAAGGCAATTTTCTTGATATTTTATAAAGTTCCTAATACAATTATTCCTATTTATTGTATAGTTTTGCAAACTTACCAAATATTTCACAAATGTCCCACAGTTTCTGTTAGAAATAAAGCCGTGCCTATATGGAAATGACAATATTTTTTCATGTCAGCAACACCTTCGCGCTTTCAGAACTGACTTAAATGTGCTCCCGGTTTTATGATTTTGCGACAAATTGTTAACCTGTTTATTCATGAAGGCTGTTTATTTTGTGTCTAAATCTTTATAGTTCTGATTCTCCTTACAAACTTTCTGTAAATCTCTGGATTCAGAGCACTAATTAAACAGATAAATAAATCCAGAGATAAATAAACTGAAGAACGCCATTGGCATTTTGTAATATGGACACCAACACTCGAAGGGTGATACTGATTGTTGATCTGATAGTTAATGGATCATTTATGTTCGAGTTCTTGTCTACTCCACATTATGGATAAATAACACAAACAAACTATTTTCAACAATATTAACAATCAATCAACAATATTTCTCATAGATTAATATTTTAATGAATAACCTGCAAAATGTTTGCCGGTAAAAGTGCGAGAATTTTGTCACAATTTTAAAAATATGTTCAAAATTTTGTATAGAATTACATAGAAAGCGATACAAAGTCGCATATCTAAGCACCAAAGAAAACTTGCTAATTTTAGGGAATTATTAATGTCATTTGTACTTAAAATCAGTCAAAAAATATATATCAATCCATACATCAAATGTTTGTTTGCGTTCTATATATCTTTAAAAAAACGCCTCTTCAACTCCAGATTTAATTATGAATTTGCCATATACACACTCATTTTTTCACAGATATAGAATATATTTGTTTCTGGAGTCAAAAATTATCAAGATGAAACGTTTGTTTAACTTGAAAATGAAAAAAATATGATTTTGTGCATATTAACGCATAATTTCTCTAAAAACCTAAATTGAGAAAAACTATAATATATCAGCAAATATGCAGTAATGTCTTAAGTAATCAATATGAACAATACAAATATACCTCACAAATATCACTGGTTTTCAATGCTTTATTAACTTATAAATAACCTGATAATCATCAAAGAAAATAAAGCAAATATAATTGATTTGTAACATTCAAGCTAGTTGTAAAAGTGAACAATCAATCCAAAACTTCTTGAAACGTGTATCTTAAATGTTACACTTTGATTAATCGACAAACCTTAACACCTAGTCTTCGTTTAATAAAATGGTAGCATGTATTATACGATATAAATTTGCATTTTCTTCAATTGAGGTTTGCAATTTTCATCCATTGAGTTTTCAAACATTTGTGTAGATATAAGTTAATGTTTGCATTACTTGTTTGAATGTCAAAATAACCATACATCCATCTTTATTCGCCATAATCGGGAGGCATATCTGGTAATTTGACTTCGAAAAGATAGTATTGAAGCCCATCCTACATTGACATTACATGTAACCAAAGGCACTGTGGGTTTTTTTTTTCACAAAAACATCTTTTTGCAATAAAATCAAAACGTAAATCTTAGTTATCGATACATGTAAACAAGTTCCCAAGACTGACAATAAATCACCGTCAGTGCTTCAGTACAGAAGATTTACCACAGCGTTACTCCCTCTTTGATCCTCTTCATGCTAAATGAATCTGACCTTTTTGTCCCTAATACTGAATCCTGACAAACCTGTACAAATTGAGGTTTATTTATTGGCATAAAATTTGTTTAGCTATCCATTTTATAGTTTTTACTTAAGAGAAAAGACATGTATATCATACTGTTATCAAAATTCTTTTTTGACTTTGTTTAAACATAGGGATGGGTTAATTAACTTGGATTTCATTTCACACATTCATTATCAAAAGAACCCAGTCCCTCATTGCATTTTAAAGGTCGAACACCTTATTCATTTTTTCGGTGGGTGAATTGAACTTATTTTCAATTTTAGAAAATGCAATGTTGTAAATTTGTGCTATCTAAATATCCGACAATATATATGTGCAATTTGATATTTCTTTCTAATGAAATCCTTTTTTCTGCACTGAAGTTTTGCAGCACTTTTACTTTTCTGAATAAATCTTCGTATGTCAAGTATTCCAGTAGTCTAGTGGTTGGGCACATGCGATCGAGAGATCCAGGTAAGATTCGCGTTTCCATCACCATGTCAAGTCTATGACATTTAACCTAGATGGTGATTTTTCCATGACCCACATTGAAGTAATGGTCTTTCAATTCAATTATAAAAATCGATATTCCGTGTCATCATAGTGGATGGCCTGATAAAGAACCCTATACTTAGGTCAAAATTTGTGGCATCTCGCCTAAAGCAGGTGACAACTCTATCTGAGTGAAAAATTCTTGAATGGGACGTTGAATATTATTCAGTGAAACAATCAAGTCTTCACGGAAGAGAACATTTGCTTCGTATATTTATTACACGAATGACTAGGCTAACACTGTCATGGCAGGTCAATGCCCAAAGTAACATAAGTCTCACAAAAAAAGCCTATCATTAAATATATCGCTAAGGGAGAGACACATTTCTTTAGATGCTCGGTCAACAGTCTCGTTTAAAGTATACATTTCGCAAATTCTATGGCCGTTACAATGACCTTGTGAAAAAATACAAACAATCATTTAGTTGAATGTTGACTGACGTTTTTCATACAAATTGTTAGACCATTATGATCTAATGGAATTGTCTACGGATTTTTTTTTTATTTTACTTGATCATGACAGGGAGCACACGGTGGGTGTGACCGGTTGACAGGGAATGCGTACTCCTCCATGGCACCTAATCCTAGGTTGTCATGTTCTAAATTTTGAATTTACTTCCACCCGTAAGTTCGAAATTTTTCAGAGGTCCATGTTTGCTCTTCTCCAAATATGTATTGTTTTCATAGGCTTTTGAATTTGATTACTGTGCGTTGTCTTCATATTTCATGCTGCATTAATAGAAACAATTTGTATTCTGAATTTTGAATAATCCTACATTTACCAAACGTGTCACAGATATGGTATTTAATCATAGCCACAATCATGTTCTGAGTGGGTTTTTTTCCCAGATTCATATCAAATAATCTGCAAACCACATTGTTTAGCTGAATTTTATACCAGGCTTTTTGAGCACTTTATTATATCATGCTATCAAATTCTGTCATACGCCGTGTATATGAAATATTTTTGGCCGAGTGGGTCTAAAAATGGCATTTTGTTTGAATTAAACACGAAAATTAAGAATTAACTTAGAAAAAAAGAAAAGTGCGAGTATAAAACTATTTGATAATTGCTGCTGCGGCAATATTTTGTAAATGTTACGGAATATTTTTATCTCTAAAGTGTCAAGAACATATATTCAGTTTTGATCATTAAACAACATTTTGTGATAATTTTCATAAAATTATATTTCTCTTTATAACTCCTTTTATGACTTGAGAATATATCTAAATGACGCTTTTAGATACTATCTTAAGGTCTGAAAACTGTTCATACTTATGCACTAAATTAATAACTTTAAAATTGACATCCAAAAATTATTCATAAAGATGATTGACCTGTCTAAAGGACATTGCTTTTGCTTAAAATGAATGGTCATCATTTATCAAATCATGTATAAGTTAAAGTTTGAAGGTTAAAAATTAGAGAAAAAAAGGAAACATTTTATGTATTTGTTTTCAGAAGTTAAGTTTCCCTTAAAGTTTTCTTAAACAATGTGATTAGTAATTTCCGTATAAAACAATAATATACAGTGTTCACCATATTTTTAAATTTGTGAATGGGATTTCTGTTAGGATGTACACAAGAAAAGGTAAAACAAATGGGGATTTCATCATGTTTTCAAATATTGAACTTCCTTTGGATGTCAAAGGAATAAGGCCTAAAAACATTAAAGATCTTTTCTGATAGTCTGATTCCTGAATTTTATTTGAGATTGCGAACCGATTTTAAATATATGCTAATGCAAATCAATGGAATTTTTCACGTATATTTCATTAACACTTACTGATCTATCATGATAGGAATAACTAAATCATTATTAAATTTGAATCATAAAAGCTTTATTTGTTGTATCTATAAATCGCTTTTATTATCAAGTTCCAGTTTTGTGTCCACCATGCCGTTGTTTTTTCACATCTGAAGTTTGCTGTTTTGAGAAAATCTTTGAAAACTCATTAAGAAAAACAGATTTTGAAATTTTTTTCTTATCTAAATATTTTTTTTCTTCTAAAGTGTGATGAAATCATACTTTATTTTGTAGACAGGGGAATGGTTAGGCCAGTAAAGCTCTTAGTATTTCAAACATGCTTGATAATTTTTTTAAATTAGATTAACTATGTATTATATAAAAACAATTTCTTATTCTGCATCAGTTTATCTCCATAAATTATTCCACTTCCTATTCTTTCACGCATCATTACCTCTGCGTAAAGGCTTTCTGATATTCTTGAACAGGTGATTCCTTCAAAGGAGATATAAATTGGAAAATTTTCATAACCTTCTCTTAATTTTATTTAGTCATATACATTGAGAACACCCAAACTCGCAATTTTGACTCTTGGATCCATACAATGTCATCGCAAATGGATTCTGAAAAGCCAGTATATTACACTAATATAGGTAGGATTTTTTTAATCTTGCTATTTTTTTATGTTAGAATATCAATGATAAATACCTATCTGGGTCTAAAGGAGAGAAATTGTAATGTAAGAAAAAAAAGTAATCTAATGCATGACATATCTTCTATTTAATTTCATAAAATTCCTATTTTGAAAAAATAAAGAAGAAACAAAATGAAAATGCAGGAATTTTAAATTTTTATTTTTATTTCTATATTTTGCTGAGGTCTGTTTGATGTATATTGTTAAATTGAATTTCTTTAAAACGAATATAAACAGCTTGTAATTTTTTGAAATGAAAGGAAATTACTTCTTTTTTCTTGTATGTATCTATAATAGTAAATTCTGAATTCTTATATTTTTGCATACACTAGCTATGTGATAGAGGATGCAGAATATACATTAAGAAGTACTGAAAAGTATTACAGTGATAAAAAAATAGAAAAAAGTATAAGAAAGATTCTAAATTTATACAGATTTTTTTCAAAAATAGAAACTCAAAAAATGAGTAAATGCTCATCAAGAAATAATTATCTTGAATAAGTGGCTCGTCAGTATGACAAGTACATGTAATTAAGAAAACATATCAGTGGACCTTTTCACAAAATATCTTACGACTAAGACAAAAAATTTTCAGTTCTCCAAAAAGTGTCTAAGTTTGTAAAAGGTCTCAAAATATTTTATATTTCTATCACAATAGAACATATTGTGAATTATTCTTTAGAAAAAAATAATATTTTCATCAAACAAAAAAATACAGAGCCTTCAAATTTTAATCGTAGTTCTAAGTTTTTTGTGAAAAGGTCCACAGAACGTTACTGTATCAAATAACCCTTAACACAGAATAAACATGACAGAACTGGAAAAATAATGCAATGCTGACATTTTATTAAAAAAATTTAGATGTGTGATCAAGTGAAAGACAAAGATTAATTTTCGTTAATCTCCTTAATAGAATAAGTTTATAATTGTTTCAGAATTTATCATAAAACATTATGAAAAGACTATAAATCAATCGATATGTAAACATTCAAATGTGTAATGAAATACAATAAACATGTCTTTGTATGTGATATTATTTCTTCGTCTGGTTATAAGGTAATAAGCTTCCCCCTGCATACATGAGGCGTCTTTAGTCTCAGTCTGTCGTGTAAATGCACATCGGAAGTGCCGCAAGCTACACAGTCATGATAGGACTAAATGGTTGCACAAAAGAAACATCAGTTTCAATTAATTCAATTAACTTTATAACACTGAGAACTTAAATGTTAATCAATAAACTAAAGAGGTTAAAAGAGAAAATACATAATCTTTACTTTTTTTGATTGCAGATCTTGATCAAATATCCTAAAAAAGAAATACTGAGAGTCTTTATTTTTTACTGCAAAACTGAACGAAAAGAATTCAATTTATTCCTTTTAAAGCATGGCCTCATTTAAAAAGGAAAAACAAGCAAACATTCTGAAGGGTAATTCTGATTTCCTTGAAATAATGAAGATGGGGATTGGAGGGGTACTACCCCTGTTAATAATTAGACAAAAGGGGAAGAGCTTTTTCAGTCAGGAAGGCTACCGAAAGTAATGAAATAGACTAGACAAAGCAGGAAAAAGAATTTCTACATCAATTTTTTTATGTTGATACTTTATTAAATAGATATTAATTTAACGACATAATTTCATACTTTTTTATTGTGCATGACTTTTAAATATCGGACAAAAATTTGCAAAATATATATTTTAAAAATATGTTTACAATTTAACTTCAAAGTAGTTTCACTTGCATAGAAGTGAAAATTAAACTATTAATATCATCATATTCTCACTCTTTTAGATATCTGCCTTCCATGATTACTTCAGGTCATTATTCCGTCTTAACAACGTTGCAATATAAGTGCATACTAGTGTTCTTAATTTTGCGCTGTAGTTACAGAAAAAACGCCAAAAACTGAATTGCGTTTTTTTTAAGTACATGTATATGTAGAATTGGCAACGAACGCATTGATCTCCATCAGGTTTGTCTGACATTAATTAATTGTCGTTTCTTCTTGTTGCAAATTAAGCGCGCACTTTCCATCATAAACATGCATTAATTGCTGTTTACAAAAGTAGATTTGATCATCCACACATATAAATAAATGAAAGAGGTGTTTATCTACATAATCTTAGCTCAGTAAAAACATCACAATGCATACTTTGAATTTCAAACAACAACGATGACATCATTTTGAGATTTACATCATGACCAGATATTGTAATTGAGTATGATTGATTTAATTACACCAGAATTCACTCAGGTGAACATGATTGGTTTGTTCAGTTATTTCACCTCAAGGACAGGAAACAAATGAGTAAGACTATGTTGCTTTCACTACATGTATAAAAGTATTTGTAGTGTGACAAATATCCAAATACACTGGTGCAGGAGATATGTTAGGTTCTAATCTAGGTATTTAGTTTCCATCATTTTAATTATACACTGCCGAAAAAAAAAAATACATGTAGTGTAAATGGTTAATTCAAAATATGTCCATGTTTTATATAGAACGTATGATCTATTATTTACAAAATTTGGTCATAGTTTAGATACATGTTAGCATAAGCAATCCCTTAAAGTCTCAGACGAACCATTTATTTAAATTTAGTTCCCCTCAACTTTTTCGATTTACCTGTCTGGAGACGTAGAAAAAATAAATTTTGTCAAATAAAAACTTTGACTTTTTTTAACTCACCTGTTTTTTTTTAACAAAATAAGCCTTTTTTTGTAGAAATTCCAAATCCTATCTTATCATTTTATAATGTAATATCATATCTTACTGTATTGGAAAAAATATTTATGATATAATGCTTATAAATACGCAAAGGACAGTCAAATGTGATATAACAAGATAACGTTGATTTTTTATTTTCCTCGTGCCCTTTCCTTGAGATGGATAAAAAAAACTCAGAGCTATTGTTTGAATGTTTTCATATATATTTTATAATTCTCAATCGTTTTTCTCTTATAACTCCTTATTAAAAAATAAAACATTTTATAGCAATGCGAATTATGTATCCAGAAAAAATATTTCCAGCAGCATATTTACTTTTAAAACGAGGCCCAATCTACTTGATCTGCGCATACGTTTTCACGCAGCGCTAGCTTTGTTTCAGCCACGTCACAGTCACAATTGAATGCAATAAAGTCACAGTTGTTTGAATGACGTCTAATTGCGCCTAAAGTATTTCGAAGTTTTTGCATGATGGTTGGCGCATGTAAAAAGCTTATACTATGTCTGACATTTGTATCGCCTATTATGTTTTATTATTATAAATAAATGTTTTCTTTTTGTTAGCATTTAAACAAAATTTATTTTAACAACATGTTCAATCCCTATGTAGAGATTTAAAAGATTTGTCTACGCTTATCAATAAGTAAAATGTTATTTTTACTTTTGAGTTAAAAAAAAAACTGCAGCAAAATGGAAAAGCATGTAGTCTTTCTACTTGAAAATGTTTATTCAATATTTTTTGTAACCTAAGCATATTTACAGTGGCTTGATTTCTTTATAAAACAAGATATGAGGATTTTTTTTAAAGGTGTTTGGCATAAGATATTAAAATTACAGCTCATCTTGAATAACCTATAACTATTTTGTACAATGACAAAACTCACTGCATTGTGTGACTACGGGAAAGGTCTTTATTTTCATTTTATCTTACGTTTTTAACAGTTGACTGAAAGGCATAATTAACCCCTTTTCATGAGAATTAAGTTCGTAAATGTTATTTGTCGCTTTTTTTAAATCAATTCTTTTAAATGTCACACTAGACCAAAAAAAAAAAAAAAAAAAAGAAATGTGGTGAACAACACGATGACTTTGATATTGTTCTGACAAATATTTATCAATCAGTATCAACACAACTTCAAAGAAAATTAATAAAAGAAACATAATGTCATATATTTGATTTTTACATTCAAAATTATACTTAAAATAGAAACAGTCCTTATCATATTTCGCTGCAAAAGTGGGAAAAATAAAATATATATATCCGTTCTTTTATGATTGCAGATCCTGAATTTGGCTTAGTTGATTGTGATTATATGTCTAGATCCCAAAACTGGCTATCTGCAGAAAGACTTTGATAAAATAAGCCTTGTAGCAACCGCTAATGATAAAACGCCGCTTAATGATAGAAATATCATTAAGCTTTGCAATTCAACGCTTAATGTTATAAATTATTCCATTAATATTTGACATTCTCAACCCTTAATGATATAATTCTATCATTAAGCGGCGATTTAGCACTAGCGGTTGTGTCAACTATTTATGCAATCATTTATGGCATTAAGCGTTGAATTGCAACGCTAAATGATGTTTCTTTCATTAAGCAGCGTTTTATCATTAGCGGTTGCTACAAAGCCTTCTTTTTATTCTAGATCCTGAACTTGGCTTTCCACAGAAAGACTATGAAGAGAACTACTGCAGCCAGGTGTATCCTGTTACACTGTCCTGGAAGGATTGCAGTGTATTTTCCCTCCCAAAAAGAAAGCTTTGTTGCCTTTTGAATAAAGAAGATGAATCTCCCAAACAAATTCTGACCAACGGTACACCTTTTTTTTCAAAATGCATGTAAAATAAAAAAATAAGCATTGTTAACCTCCATTGCTGAAAGAAAACAAGCAGAAAAATGCTTAGTACATGTACAAGTGAAATTTAGTATTCGTATCACACAGCGTATTGTACGTGCAAATTCTTAAAGAAATGAAGTAAATCTGATCAATGTTTTCAATTGTTTGTTTGTTTGTTTGTATGTTGTTTAACGTCCCTCTCGAGAATTTTTCACTCATATGGAGACGCCACCACTTGCCGGTGGAGAGCTACAAATTTTGACCTATACTCGGCACTTACGGCAATTGAGCAGTGAGGGATCTTTTTCGTGCAAGCACCTACTGCGACACGGGACCTCGGTTTATACGGTCTCATCCGAAGGACCGATCTCATCGTCCCACAGTGGGATTCTAACCCGCGATGTAAGGATCAACTCCTTACTTCGCGACTCTAGAGCAGACGCTCTAACCACTGCGCCACGCGGGCAACTTGTTTTCATTTGTGACGTTCCCTGAGTATACACTGACCAATTTAAAATCAAGTCTATGCTTTTTGTTTGTTTTTTTTTTTAATTATTATTATTATAGAATAAAGAGATTTGTACTATATCCCAATTCCATGCATCTTGCTATTCAAATTATCCACGTGAAATTCCCCTATTTCGTAACCAAGGTTGACAGAGACACTTTGCAAAAAACGATTCCAGTGGTCTATTTCTGCTTATTTAAGTCATTTAACAAAATGATTGAGTATTTCTATTTTTAGATTAAACATGCACTTTTGCATGTCAAAATAAACATTCCTTTTACAAAAAGGTACAAAGCATTGATATACTAATACCTGTTCAAAATCATAAATCAGGAAAATTAATTACTTACATATGACATGCTTTGTTAAATTTTCCAATCAATCTTCAACTTCCACAGTCAGCGATAAAAATAACTAAATCTTTAACATTGAGTTCATTGTTCTGTGACGCAGCAAAAGATTTTTTTTTCTTTGAAATATTAATCATTCAAGTTCATTTCCCTCAATCTCAATAAAAGACGAGCACGCAGCACGTTTTCGTCAACATTGAAAACTAAATTTTTTGTAGTTCATTACCCTTTGCCTCAGATAGACAGGTATAGAACAGAGACATAAATGTCCTTGACGTATTTTTATTGTCTATTTTTAAAGAGAATCTGAAACATATCATAGACAGACAAATATTTAAAGTATTGAAAGCATATTTAAGACATAAGTCACGACACCTTAAGATGTATTGGAAAGAAACTCAGTTTTTCATATTTTTTGATGAATAACTTTGCAACTTATCCAAGTCAAGAAGGAAAAATTAATTGCATTACCTATGGTATCCTTTGTCAAATTTTCTTATCAATCTGCAACTTCCTTAAATTAGTCATTGCTAAAAATAACTAGATCTGCTCAGCAAAAGTTTATATAACGTATAGTTGCTATGAGTTTTGAATAAGTTACCTTTTTGAGTCATTTCTATTTTAACATTAAAAAATCTTGATACTGATCTTCATATCGGGTAAATTTGTTTCAGACTTGCCAAATAAAATTAACGTTTTCTTATTCGCTCTGATAGATGGTTTTTTAAACTTATTAATTTCTCTTCATTTCAGTTAGTGGAGTAATTAAACCTGGAAGGTTAACAGCCGTCATGGGAGCAAGGTGACTTACTTTTTTGAATAAGATTGAATAAGTGTACTATCTTGCCGTTTATCATTAAAAAACAAACAAGAAATGACGTTATTAGAGCTTTATAAAACAAACAAAACAGGTCATTATTTGAAATAAGGTATATTTGTGGCCAAGATGTTACTTAATAAAGCTATCATATAAGAGTAGTCCATGTTTCATGTTATAGCGATCGACATGCGATGCTTACTCCAACATGGCACCTGATCTCACATCTGATTATTTTTTAGATCTGTTTTCTTATCTCCCAATTCATGTTGTTTCAGTGAACTCTTAAGCTTGATCACTGTTCATTACTTTCATATTTCATAAAATGATTCAATTTTATCTTAATAAAACTAAGTAAGGATTATGAAACACTTGTCAAAGTGTTTCAGTTTCGACGATGTAAAACACAGAATGAAAATACATGTAAGTCATTTAGTTAACTAAAAGGTGACTGAAAGTCTACTGAAAGGTCATTGAATAGCAAAGCTCTGCCATCCAGACCTTTCTGTGACGATTCAGTTGACTTGATGGTATAGGTTTATTCTGTGAAATATTTTACCAAGACTGTAAATATAAATTCCGTAGATGATAACGGTTTTAATCCTTTTTTTAGTGGAGCAGGCAAGTCCACCTTACTGAATATGCTGACCTTCAGAAACAGAGGGTCGCTTGTCATTCAGGGAGATATAAAAGTAAACGGTGTAATAATGGAGAAAGAAAAAATGGCAAATCTCTCAGCCTACGTGCAGCAGGATGACGTTTTCATTGGCACCATGACTGTTAGGGAACATCTTATTTTCAGGGTAAATGAAGAACTTTATTTAAGGTGTGCTTTTATTATCGTGTTAAAATGGAGTATCAGTACAAAAAGGAATTTTTGGAGCTATAATATGAAATAGCACTGTTAGTATTTCTAGGTAATATATTTATTAAAATCCTTTTGATGGATGTTTATGAATTCGCACACAAAACATTGTTACAGTATTTCAATATATGAAGATGTTTATTAGATAATGAAGGCGATTTCTTCAATAGTGTTTATGCAAAATACATGAATGATACTGCAAGAAAATCCCAATATGCAAATATTCATTAATTTAAGAATCGCGTGAGTAACTTTTTAAAAAAATAATCAATCCTACAGGCGATTTTAAAAATGGACGGAAGAACTCCAAAAGCAGAGAAACTCCAGCGAGTAGAGCAAGTTATACAACAGGTATTTATTTTAAGAAAGCATTGAACAATATTAATTTAACCCTTATTTTATATAGTTTTTTTTTCTTTCGGACTAAATCTCCCCTTTTCATAGGCTAGTTGACGTCTTGTGCGTGTCACCCAATTTCAAACGGCGATAAGCAAACATTTAAACGTCAAATGGCAGGTAAAATGCCACCTTTTACTAATCTTTAAACGCTAGCTATTTCTCCTTTTCAAAAGAAAATTGAAAACTTTCCGGTGTTGATTATGGAAAAATGATAAATTGAAATTTACAGCGCTGTCCCTTTCACTAATCGATCAACAACGACATGAGTACGTGTCGATGAAGATTCTCACAGACAAAAGAAGAATAAGTGCATGCTAAAATCATTAAATGTAACCATTTTACTTTCAGCAAAACAATTCAGTCACTGTATTGGCTATAGACTTTTCGGTTTGATCAAGCTTAAAGAAGAATTTATTCCGCCTCGCAGCTCGATCAACCGATTCAAATATTTATCTGTAGACTATCAGTAATTAATCTAAGGACTATATAAGTTTTGATTAGAGTTTCTAATATATTCTATAAATTATCCTTTTTAGCTTGGGCTAGCAAAATGTGCAGATACTGTAATTGGAACCCCAGGAAAAAAGAAGGGAATTTCTGGTGGAGAATTAAAAAGACTTTCCTTTGCCTCCGAGGTACTAAAAAGATTAGATTTTACTATCTTTTTTAATAAAGTCTGTCCGGGCATGTGATTTTTATTGATGTTATATTTATTTTTGCCATCCATTTCACATATTTCTTGATTATTACTACCTTAGTACAACAACTTTTAACCCAATGCAGGCTACTGACATTTTTTTTGATGTAACAGGAATTTCAACAACTTCATTTAAAATTAACATTTTGTAAATACTATTGTTATTTTAATAACCTTGTTAGCAAATACAATCTACCATTGGGTCGTTTTTTGACTGACATATTTTATACCAAATATTAGACCTTTGTTAGTTCTTAATTTGACTACGGATCGCTCCGTATACCTGATCATAGGGTTCTCAGTGTTTATGACAGGGGATGCTTACTCCTTCTAGAATTGAATGAAATGAATGGAGATAATGAACAGTATTCATGCTCAACAGTCCATTAAACAATACAAATTTTGGAGCAGAGCAAACACGGACCTCTAAAACATCAAAGGTGGGATAAGATGCCATGGAGGATGAGCATCCCCTGCGGACCGGTCACACCCGCCGTGTGTTCCTTGTCATGATCGGGAAGTAACAGAGAAATCCATCGAAGAATCCGTTGAAAAATTTCCATTTAAAGCTAATATGAATAGTCAAGGATTGGATTTACCTGTCTTTCTTTGTAATATATTTATTTAAATTTTCATTTTGGTGATATTAATGAATTAAAGCGCAAGAAATTGCACAAACGACTTTAAAATATGAGTCCATGTTAAATTGATTAACAAACAGTATCTAAAGATTTAGTTTTTCTTAAAAAGACTGTACGATCATTATGATGTCAGAAAGTACGGATCCATGAATAGACTTAAAATAAATACACCTTTCTCTATGTAAAAGAAGTTTGTAAGAACTGAAGATTATTGAAATTGCCTCACACGAAAATCAAAGATTGAGAAAATGAAAATTATTTCATCTTTTTTATGAAACTTATTATGCACATTTAAAACACAATTTCAGTTGCTCACAAACCCTCCATTGATGTTCTGTGATGAGGTCACTTCCGGTCTTGACTCGTTCATGGCCCAAAGCGTTATACAATCACTGAAGACCATGGTTCACACGGGACACACGATCATGTGTACTGTCCACCAACCCTCCTCAGAAGTGTTCGAATTGTTTGACGAGTGTGTATTTTTTTTAATCACAAAAGGAGATGGGCGAACATAGCGTGCAGAAAGCCTATAGCTTCAGAAATATAAAAATCATGTTCAGTTTGTGAATTTAATATTTAGAGTAAAGTTCTCATTATTGAAATTTATGAAATTATGATGAACAAAATTTTTCTGAAGAAAATTTTCTCGGCAAAATTTATTCTTTTATTAAAAAAATTAATGTGGTATTCGTGGGGTTCGAACCCTAGCAATAAAAATCCTGAGTATTATTTTCTTTCGAGACTAGCACGCTAACCACTAGACTACACAAGTCCTGATGAATAATGGCATTTAAATTATGTTTGTGATATGACCCTTGACTTAACGGACTTCAAGTATTTCTCGAAAAGATGCGTATGTAATGTCATAAAAGTATATTTTTAAGGTATAGTGGGTCATTGCTCCACATTTTTGGTAACCAAAAAATGTTTTTTTTTATACAAACTTTGAGGATTAACTTTCAAATAGGTGGAGCGAAGACCCACTCATATCGCAAAATAGTATTGTAGTATGAGAAATGACTCTTTTTTCCCGCTTTTGTGTGTGTCTAATATTTTACAGGCGAATAATTTCAATCTTTGGGGGATTTTTGCAAATTATAGAGATTTTACATAAAGTATATTCTAATGTTAGACGAAATATCAAGGAAAATTTTGATATAATTGAAATTAAATTTTTCATCTTCATGTTTGTCACACTATAGGCTTATTGCTCGTCATGTTCACCCATCTCCTTTCTCCATCATTCTACCTGATTCAAGACATAATTTAAAACAATCAAAATCGTGGAATTTAAATATCTATAGTGATTTAAAATTCTTGAAAAAGATCAAGGACGCTTAATAGTCTAAAAAAAAAGAAATAAAACTTGATAGAGACTGATTACATAACTTCCAGTTCATGCACCTGTGATCGGTTTTATTAAACGTCGCGTTCAATATTTTTTTAAAAATTAAACTGCGTCTTAAACAAAAACTGAACACACCTGCAAAAATTACGTAAGATAACCATATTACCGAATTAATGTTAAATACAGTTAATTATTCCAAGCATTTCTCCTTTGTCCTGTAGTGCCTCTATTCCATCGTAGTTATTGTGTAAATGAAATCTTAAATAATTAAATAAACAGTACCTTAAATAATCCAGGCCAGTTTAAGTATTAAAATATCTTATCTATAACATTTTATTTTTAATCACATGATCTTTTTTTACTCTTTCTATAGTTATTGATATATGTGCGTGAACATGTACCCATAGAATTACCAAATAAAAACTCCATGCAGAAATGATAAAACGCATAAATTATAAAGTTTTGATTTTTCCAAGTTAGTATTTAGTTCTACATTTTCCTTTATAATTAATTTAGTTTTGACTCCCTCTCGAAATTTCTTGTTGATGAGAGTTTTCAAATAATTAAAATAATGTTAAAGAAATAATATGCGAATATATAATAGTTTCTTGCAATAAAAAACATTTAATATTCAATATTGTGGAAATTAAATATTGTACCAATATTAAACTCAACAATAGTTTATTGTAGCTTTTTTTTTTTTTAGCACTTTCAATGCTTTGATAACAAAGAATCTAACATTTAATTGAATTAAAACGATTTATTTTGAAATCCTAAAGCATAACCCGTAAATTCCATTCTGTTTGCAAGACATTGGCCTTGAAAACTTTTGTATTGAATTACTTGACAAATTTGAAAACTTAAGAGATACATGTATTTTAAAATGTGACAGGATTTTAGCGCTGTAATTCTTTTTAACTTGATTACAAGTCCTTAAAATGCAGTTTAATGTTTTAGTAAAACAGTGTACTTCAATATCACTGTGAAATTTATTCCGAATTTGTCTCTTAAAAAGTATTAAACTATAAACGAAGTCATGTAAAATTTGCTATTAGTATTCTTTTTTAATTTTTGGATTATCGTTTCTAAAATATAATTTTCATTTTCCTTGTCGTTTTTTAAGATAGCATACTGTATTTCTTTACTTTCTAAAATTCATGCCTTGTTTGATATCATTTTTGCCAGAATCATTCTAATGGCGGAAGGGAAGGTAGCATTCTCCGGACCAGTTTCACACGCCATCGACTTTTTCAAAAGGTGAGAATTTATCAAATTTATTTATTTGTATTGAGACGATACGGACAAAGTCTGTTGCATCACGATATGCAATGATATATACTTTTAGAAAATCTCTCTCTCTCTCTCTCTCTCTCTCTCTCTCTCTCTCTCCTAATTGATCAATTTCGATCGTTTATGAAATTCCCTTGCATTATCTTCTTTAAAAATTTACTTATATAAAAATTTATAAAAAATAAAAAAAAAAATTTCATACTTTCTAATAAAATAATATGATACCACTTTAATGTCCATTTTAAACAGTGTTGGTCATCCATGCCCGGGGAACTATAATCCAGCCAATCATTTTATACTTACTCTCGCCATAGTTCCTGGCTACGAAACAGAATGTAAAGGGCGTGTCGAGGTAATAAAAACAAATGGTCAGGGTTTGTTAATACACTTGTATACATGTATTTTGTAATTCTTTTGCATGTTTTGCCTTTACAGATTCTCGTTTGCTTAATGTGTGACAAAATGTTCAATTATTAAGTGATCAAATTTAAGAGCAATAAATTCGTTCTTGGTATTCAAAAATGTTTTAATTTCTTAACTTGCTTTACAGAAATTATGTGAATTTTATGATAGCAGCTCGGCGTCCAAAAGAATAGATCATTTTGATGTCAAGATGGATCCATATGAGCGAAGAATGTCACAAAAACTTGTAAGGAGAAGTTGTGAATATTTGCATTAAATAAACGTATGTTTTGGTATACATTATATCAATTAGTTTTTTTATATTTATATTTTTTGTATTTTTGATACAAGAATTAGTTAATTCAAAAGTGTTTCTTATTTTACAGCTCGAAGAATCTATACATTCCATATCAAGGTATTTTTAAAATTAGCATACCTGCCATTTCAGCAGTAATCCGTAGCTCTCAAGAACTTTCTTAAAATATTAAACATTGTCATCAAATCTTTTTTACTTTTTTCTTTTCTAAAAGATAAAAAAAAAATTCAAAATCATATGATTTGATATGAAAACACAAAATGGTATTACTGATAAAGAAATACTTCCTTTCAATGTTAGAAAATTCACATTATATACTAGTTAGCGTATGAATATTAGTAAAACTTTGAAACATAATTACTTAATTCTTTGCAGCAGTGGGCCATCATACTTTCAGCAACTTAGATGTGTCATGTGGAGAAGTTGGATTACAAACATACGAGAGCCCATGCTAGTCAAAATTAAATTTATTCAAACAATAGTAAGTATATAAATAAGTAGTTGTAATTTAAACATTGTAACGATGTAAAGGGATTCTTTAAATTATTATATATCCATCGTCTTTTAAATTCAGCAGGTCAAGAACATTAAGACTGCTCTTATATTTACTGACTATGGATATTTACTGAAATCCATGTATCTGTAACCTTTCACTTTGGTCAGCTATAAGATAAGATACCTTTATAGTCTTCCCACTATTATGAGTCAAATTTACCTGAAATTTCAGCTTTGAGATATTATTTACCATTAGAGCTCTTTGCTTTATCTATGGGTCTGGTCTACCGTAAAACTACAAGTATAAGGTACTATTTACTTTTACGGTACTTTGTATTACTTTTGGGTATGGTCTAGAGAATCTCTGACTTAATCAGATATAACAATATATGTATCTTTATAGCTCATTTCTTTATTTATGGATATGATCTACCTGAGAACTTCAGCTATTAGATTATATATACCTTTATAGCTCTTTACTTTATTAATGGGTCGATCTGGTCTTCCTGAAAACTTTCGGCTATAAGATTATATCTATATTTACATATCTTTGTTCTATTTATGCTCTAGTCTATAGAATCTATAACCTTTGTCAGATTTAAGATTTTACCTACCTTTCGATATCTTTACACTATTTATGGGTCTGTTGTACCTGCAATAAGCTATAAGATTATATCTACTTTCACATATCTTTGCTCTATTTATGGCTCTAGTCTATAAAATCTATAAACTTGGTCAGATATAAGATTATATTATTTTTATAAGTTATAAAATATTTACCTTTACAGATCTTTGCCCTATTTGTGGGTCTGGTCTACCTGCTATAAGCTATAAGATTATAATTACATTTACAGATCTTTGCCCTATTTATGGGTCTGGTCATCAGTTGGTCAGTTTATAATATTATCTTTACAGATTTTTTTTGCCCTATTTATGGGTCTGGTCATCAGTTGGTCAGTTATAATATTATCTTTACCGATCTTTGCTCTATTTATGGGTCTGGTCATCAGTTGGTCAGTTATAATATTATCTTTACAGATTTTTTTGCCCTATTTATGGGTCTGGTCATCAGTTGGTCAGTTATAATATTATCTTTACCGATCTTTGCTCTATTTATGGGTCTGGTCATCAGTTGGTCAGTTATAATATTATCTTTACCGATCTTTGCCCTATTTATGGGTCTGGTCATCAGTTGGTCAGTTATAATATTATCTTTACAGATCTTTGCCCTATTTATGGGTCTGGTCTACCTGAAAACTTCCAATAATTACAATCAAGAGGACATCATGAACATTAACGGAGTTATCTTTCTTCTCATCATCAGTTTCACATATAACAATTTATTTCCTGTCTTAAATGTGAGTATTTATAAATAATTAGTTTCAACTTATTCCTCTATAATAGTACCCTTTTTTCTCCTGAACTGTATATTTTTAATTTCCACACCAATGACATACATTTGAAACCTGTACACTAAAATATTTTCTGCATATTTCTGTAGTTTAATACAATCAAAATACCTTGTTTGAATTGGTTTCTTATTTACAAAGTATTGTTGGTTGTAAGATCTATGCTTCAGATTTAGAAGTTAATATGATTTTTAACAGAAAATGTTTATTATAGTATACGTTGATCAGCAATATCCTTGAATATCTTATGCAAAATGTTAAAAAAAATTGTGCATGAAAACAAGTTTACGAAAAAAAATGAGATTCTCGTGTTTCATCATTATATTGATAGATCTTACCATATTGTAGGTTTTTCCAAAAGAAATACCGGTCTTTTTGAGAGAACACGGTGCAGGCCTCTATAGAGTGGATGTGTATTACTTCAGTAAAATGGCTGTTGAGGTTTGTTTTACTTATCTATATTGGCGAATGAATAATGCGATTTTTTTAAAAAAAATTAATTTTCGATTTTTTTAAAAATTAATTTTCGTCTTTTCTTTCATATAGTAAACTTTTAGCTCCTGTTCTGTACAAAAAATTCACAGCCTTATTCTCATCCATTGAACGACATTCAGCAAAGCTTTGCTTTTCATCAAAGAAATTTATTTTATCTTCTTTTCCTATCTATTTATAGATTCCATTCCTTGTCATTAACTCAACTATGGTCATTGCCATTGTTTACTGGATGAGCGGTGAGATATATTTCCAAGAACCCTTGTAATAAATCAAACGTATTCAAAAATAGAGTTATAAAACAAAACTATATTTAAATATATGATCAAAAATTTTCAGAAATCAAAAAGATAGTACATGCATACTGTAGAATATTTTTTGTTCGTGGGATATACCAAGGTTTGCTTATTTTTAAGTATTGGCAAAGTAATACTTTATTGAATTTTCCATGCATTGGGGAACAAACGAAATTATCTGCCAATACAACTTTGACCCCAAAAATTAAAATGATTCTCCAGTAATATGAATTTTGCTTCCCGAATTTTAAGAATATATAATCAATAATAGAAAAGACATCAAATGAATTTTGTTTCCTTTTAATCAAAGCAATAGAACAGTAAATTGTCTCAATTCAAAAGAAAACATATTTTTTTTCTTCGCTTTTTATTATTATATCAGTCCTCTTAGTGCAAAGTTTATAATAATTTCAAAATGAATGTAATAAAGAACATTAGATGTTAAATGTATTCATTATATTTATATCATTCTTTCGTTTATCATCTTTCAAGAAGTAGAGTTCTTGGTCGACCTTGAGTTTTCCACATGAACAAGAAAGTAAATACGTTAACAAGAGTTGTCAATTCCAGAGCTTTGTAGAGAATGATTAAAACGTACAACATGCATAAGTAGTTTTACAATCCCATATGCAGATAATTAAAGTCGATGAAATGATGCACTTTCTTGAGACTTGATGCTTATAATTACATTATGCTTACTTTATAACTTGTAGCATTTATAACATGTGTATTGTAATAATAATTTAAAGTTTGATATAAATATTATAAATATATTTCATGTTCTCCAGTAGAATCATTTTGGGATTGCGGTAAACTTTGCACTTAGATGACTGAAATAAGATAATTAATCAAATATTAAGGGGTGCTCCTATCTTGCATTTTGCATAGTTACAGAAGAGCTGTTGTTTAAACAAAAAACAATAGTACCTCTATCTGATTTTGAATCCTATTCTTCCTCCATCGTTAATTATATATCGGAAATAGTTTAATGCCTTCATAGATGTCTATTATTTTAAATGTTGAAACTGATTTTCTTCTGTTTTAACCTTTTCAGGCCTCGTACATGATCTCAATGCCTTTGTAAATGCTGCTATTATTTCTGTGTTAGCTTCTGCATCTTCGTCTTCATTTGGTAAGCTATAATGGGGATCTTCGTTGTTTTCATGAATATCTGAAATATATTTTCTTCAAAATAGGAAAGCGAAGAAAGAACGACCTTTTACATAATAAATTGAATGGTTGTTGTGACAATTATCTAATAATATGCATAAAATATATATATTTTTTAAATGATTCAGTTAGATTTGAAATTCAATCTTATATAAATATAAAGAGCAAAATTTAATAAAAGACATTTTTAAGATGAACATTTAATGAAGGAAATAACTTACCAGTGATACATTTATCTTTCTTCCCTTATCCGTTTATCAGTATCATCTGTATTATCTGTGTCAGAGTTATCTCTCTTTACTAATCAGTATAACAGTTACCTCCCTTAGGTCCCTTTTCCCTAAATTTGTCTTCTTTTCTAGGCTATGCTATATCTGCCGCCTCACCGTCAGTTACAATTGCACTGTCCTTAGGACCTCTCCTGATGACCCCTTTTCTTTTGTTTGGAGGGTATTTTCTCAATAATGGGTAGGTTGTAATATTACATTTAAATTCTTTTATCTTTTGATTTCATAGAAAGTATTAGTCTAAAATCTCTACAAAGTAGAAAAACAATTCTTATTCTTTCCTTATGTTATATGCCCATTCATGATTGTAGTTACTAAAACTTGGATTGCTTGATTTTTATTTATTTTCAGGTCGGTGCCCGACTACTTCCTTTGGGTCAAGTATGCCTCATGGTTCTTGTACAGTAATGAATTGATGATTACAAATCAGTGGAACGGTGTCAGTCATATAAGTTAGTAGCATTTATATAAACAAACATTAAAAATAAACGTCCTATAAAGTGAATGCTTTATTCAAAATAAAATAAACTTATTTAAATTTTGTTAATGTCAACTATTATTAAAAGCCATTTGCATACCATTTTTCTCTTTGTTTAACACATTATACTGCATACAGGGAATTATTCTCCCCGTTTTATTTTCGCCCCTTTCGCACTCGTTGAGAATTTGATACGCAACGAAATAAAAGAAGACAGCTTTACCTCTTAAATACAACTGTGTCCAGGCGTATTTAAACGGGGGCTTAATCGTTTGCAAATGTGAAAGGCGAAAAATAACACGGGGAGAAAATAATCATGTATACAGTACATCAATATGAGAAGAACATCCCCAGGGGAAAAAATTAAACAATAATAACGTAATTAAATAGTACATGAATATATCAATATCATTTCCATGTAAATTGATTCAAAGAATATTCTACACAGGTTGTGGCGATGTTAACTCTACAGTGTGTATTCACACAGGCAAAGAAATCATTCACAGTCTAAATTATGACGAGGTCAGTATTAAAAGAAAAACGGTCAACAAAAACCTAGTTTCGCTTAAAGATACTGTTTATCGAATTAATTGCAAATTTTCTGTTTTGAATACCTTCATGCGTGCTATTCAGCTGTAATTGACACTGATTTGGTTCATGCATATATGTATGACTCTTATCTGCAGGTATTGAGACCAATCGATGATTTTGTCTCTCAATAGTCTGCCCTAAATTGCTTATTTCTCAACTCTGAGTTAGGTATACAGCACTCTAAACCATAACCATCTCTCTGTACCAGTCTTTTACAGCGATATCTGTTCTGTTGTTTCCTTTCAGAACAATTTCTACTTTGACCTTGTCATGCTTTCGACCATAATCTTGACGTACCGGATTCTGGCTTTTCTTATACTCCTCATTAAAGCCAAGATGTCCAAATGTTAGAGGTGCAGTGAAAGTGAAAAAAATTAGAAAATCGGAAGTAGTAGACATTTTATTTCAAAACTACTTGCAGAGGCCTTACCCAAGTCTGAACGTTAGGTTTGAGACAGAGATTAGTAGATGCTGCAAAATCTGTTGGACAGATTTATAATCTTGAATGCTCGCTATCCATTAAGACATGAAGAAAAACAAATAACTATACTTATTTAAGTGGGAGTACACTGTCGTGCCTTTGATCTGACATTTCTTTGCGATTTTATGAGTATGCTTTAAATGTAGTCATGCATATTGTAAAATATATAAACGAACGCAATCATGATCGCACCAAAAATCTTGACCTACAGTGGTGCTTAAATTTGAAAGTTCATTGGGGCAACCCGAAATTATATTGTCTTTCTTATTTCTTTTTGATACTCAGACTTAATGTGTTTTATAAACCTTCGTCTTTCCTGATGAAATTATGTGTGTGTTTGTACGTATAAGCGAGAGAAAGATCAAGAGAGAGAGAGAGATTGAGTACTAGTTGTATTCATAAATTAATAATTAGTTTTTGCATGTTTAATTTATTTCCCAAACTGTTATTGTTATGCATTTTTATATGTAAAATAAATGGCTCTGAGTTCCTTATAGTTATCTTTTATGTTTCAAAGCCAAGTCTCCATTAGTGTTAATTTTGTGCCCATGTGCTTTTTAAACTGTTAGATTTTAGAGTTATATTTGAAATAAAACATTATATACATATTTTTATGAGTAATGTTTTGTTTGAGGGATGGAATAAAACATAACTATAATTCAAAAGAAATAACAGAAATCGTCTCATATATATTTAAAAAATGTCAGCATGTTGCCTTAACAATGCCTTAGGTGATTAGGCCTAAGAGTTAATTTCATTGTTGACAATTTATCCTCCACGGCGACCATGGTGCTCTGTTTCTAGTATTGGAGACAGAAGCAGATAAATGTTGTGAAAGTGATGATAATATACATACTAAATATTGTCAGGCAATATCGAATATAATTGTCTTATTGTAGATGAAATTTATATGTATATGTTCATATTGAACTAGAGCTAGCTAAGCCTACTGTCGTTGTAAAAGATGACAGGAAACATAACAATGCACACTCTATATGTACATATTTTAAAATACTCAAATTTCTATACTATTTTTCAGCAATGTCTCTGACTAGTGCACAGACAGCTGTATTATATGTATTCAAATTAGAATTATGCTTCTAATTGTTTTGTTATGCCCATGTTTAAAGCAACCAATTATTAGCTTAATATGGCTGAAACTATTCTCATGCTTGCTTTTAAACAACATTTAGGTTGTAGAATATCAAACATCATTCACTGTAAACACACTACAGAAAAAAATATCAACAAATTACACAACTATGTAATACTTTAATTTATATGAAACAGCAACAATTGGTGCAGGTGTGTGTCTTATCATAATTTAATCAATATCCAAGAATGCATTTCTGTAGATGAGTTACGAGTGTTTCACAAACAGTATGAACACTACAAGATTTTTTAATATCACATTTTATGTCTTTACCATAAAAGTTTCTTTTCTATTTTGGTTTTCCCTATTCCATATTATGAAAGATCATTCAAGATTAAGTAAAAAAAAAGGTTTCATATTTCAAAAATGAGCATTTAAAATTGACAAAAATCAAGCTGAGAGTATTGCGTAAGCAATACTAGTCCCCTACCGGCACGACTTAGTGCAATCTGGTTCCTCACAAAAATTAGAAATGCTGAAATTTTATCAAAAATCATTGAAGCGGAACAATATGCAAAATTGATCTATACCTCATCGAGTAAACTTACAAAACACAACTCAGCTCAATATCTGCAAACATGCGAAATACCAAGTGGTTAATATCAATATTGACCAGACTTAGAAGTTTCAATTCTAGGAAAATGTCACATTTTTGTAACACCTTTAAGAAACTGAATTTTGTATACGTTTTTCTGATACATTAAAGATTATCGGTGAGATACGTACGGACAAAACTTTAATACAAGAACAAAAACAATATATTGTTATGTCAGTGAATTAAGAAGACATATAAATATAGAGTTCACTAGACAACAAATGTGAACGCCACATAAATGTAAAACTAACGAGGAAGAAAATTTCAAATTGACATGTAAAATGTTTTGTGAACTTAACAGAATGAATGCCAAATATCATTTTATTTACTACATATAAACTATTTTTCACCTATTGGATTGCATTTCATGCGCTGTTTTTGTTCCATCCGTAAATTTAAAAAAAAACACCTCTAAATATGAATTCTGAAGCCTTTAGAGAGAATGAAGAGAGTACATTTAGGAGTGTTATCTCCAGATCCTGTCCGTCGAATTCAAACCCATGCTCCATGTAACAAATCAATAATAGACATAATGGGACTAAGGAAAAAACAACTTGTTCTCAATTATTCATGCTTCGTGGTTTTTATGACAAGTTAGAAATAATTTCTCTTTTGTTGCTTTAGAAGATTAAAATAAAAATAAATTCAAAACAGGGGATTTAAATTTAACAGGTTCAGTCTCTATCGATATTGTTAATTACAGTGGTTGCTATGGACTCTTATGATTTCTGGCGTCGTCGTCATCATTTTTCTCAAATTTATGACAGAAGAATCTCCACAAAAAACAAACGATAATTCCAAACGCCAGCCATGTGGCGAAACCCACCGACAGCCCAATAATCATGTCCTGAGTAACTCTCATCCTGAAAAAGAAAATGTAAATTTTAGTTTCTTTATCATGATGACATCAAGAAATTAAGATTCGATTCCCGCTCTCAGTGCCTCGGCAAAACTAAGACGTTTAATATTGAAAAAATGGCTGTTTCTTTGTTAAATATCTGCATTGGAAGTGAAAGTAACGGGGCTTTCTGATGAGACCCTTATGACCGAGGTCCCTTGTTACATCAAGCGTTGGTACAAATGAAATATGGAGTTAACGAACAGCATTCATGCTGAAAAGTCTATTCAAACAATACAAATTAGGAGCAGAGCAAACACGGACCTCTAAAACATCAGAATTCGGATCAGGTGCCATGGAAGAGTGAGCATCCCCTGTCGACCGGTCACAGCCGCTGTGTGCTCCTTGGGGAAAACGGAAAAGTCCTTAGACAAATCAGTAAAAAATGGCTTGACAATTCGTATGAAAAACATCAGCATTTGACTTAATGATAGATTGTATTTGCTGACGAAGTCATTGTATCGACCATAAAACTTGCGTTTTCTTGTAAAATTTCCAAATATGAAACAGATGTGTCAGACTCTGTGTATCATTCATTTCAAGCACATTGGGATACAGTAAAACTTGTTGAATCCGGATGTTGTACATTCCGGCATGTTGTTCAGTCCGGCGTAATATTTTAGTCCCTTGAATTTTCTTTATAATTTATGTTTAAACATGTTGTGCAGTCCGGATCTTGTCTATTCTGTAAACCGGCCGCTATTTAAATAACTTACTGCTCATAATTAGTACAAATTATCTCCTCTAATCCGGCCACTTATTTTTACCTGTGCCCGCTGGTCATTAGAGAAGTCTCGCGTGGGGTAATTATTGTCCCGTTAATGATCTATCCTGTATCGACAGTTTAGATTTTAACAAACGTGATAAAAAAATCATTAATGGCTCAAGTAAGGCGAGGATGAGTGATATTTATGGTTGCGTGTGGCATGTCTGTAGAAAAACTTGGAGACTTATTCATGACCTCCTTTCTACTTTCGTTTTGCGTGCACGAAGTGCAATTCGAATTACTTCCCTTTGTGTCTCTAGTTTACAACGACCATAACGACATAAGATTTTGGTTCAATATTCATTACATGTATACAGTGTCTAAATATTCAAACATATTAATTTTAAAAGAAAGAAATTAATTAGGAATCTGTTCCTAAAAAAATAATATTTACAGCTACGATAAGGTTTTTGAGAGTATTTAAAACATTTAACGATTTTCAAATTTGATAAATGACCAAGAAATATTATATTTCGACACTGAATAAAAAACTTAAACAGAAATGAAAATTCTGAAGAACAAACAGAGTTCAAAACAAACGGAAATAGACGATTTTTTCAAGTGAAACGTAAAAAATGACACATTTGATCAAGTATTTATTTACCACTCTTATAGTTTATATCTATGTAATTTTTAACTTGCTATAATGGTTCAATTTTCTCCAATCCGGATGTTGTCTAATCCGGCCAAAAATTTTGGAACCACTGGTCGCCGGATTAGACAAGTTTTACTGTATATCGAGTCGACATATGAATGAAAGTACTATTGTTAATTGATAATACATCGTCGATACTGTAATCCAACTTTTATGCGAGAAATGTCCGCGAGTTTCGCGACTTTGTTTAACTCGCGAATATTAATCGCCGCTAACCATTTATTTTGGTTTGCGTTTGTAGAGAATGTTTCCTTAATTGCAAAAATTAATTGCCTCGGATTGATTTCGAACTGACGAATCACGAATAAAAGATGACGCGAATAATAGTTGGTTTACAGTTTATCTAAATGTCGAGATGAAGGCCACAGCAAGTGTTTTCTTCTTCTCATGTATCAGATTTTCAATAATTTCTGCTTCATATGAATACAAAAATAGTTATGCTAATAACGTGGCGCAAGTACCTATGGGTATTCCGACATATTGTTGGAAGACCTGGTCTCCAAAAACTACACAGTTATTGTTAATCAGAAACTCAGTCATATTTTAAAATCAACTTCAGAGTACTTGTGTGTACAATCAGAATGTTTTTTTAACAAAATAATGTTGCAAATGACCAATGACATGGTATGTAATCATAAAGTACCATTTTTATAGAAAAAAACAGCTGTCAATGATGTCAAAAAGCCTGGGGACCGTTTTACAAACGAACTAACGACTAAGACCAAAATTGGATTCTCCTGAAAACTTTCTAATTTACATTAAATATAAAATGGTTTTAAATGGTATCTTTTTAAAAGGTATGTAGAAAAATACTTTACGCTAGAAACTGTAAATAGATTCATTAATTTTGCAAAATTTTACAATCTACTAAAGAGTTCTTATTCGTAAATTCTTTTGTAAAACGGGCCCCTGGACTTTAATTTATCGCGGGGAATAGTTGTGTAAAGTGTTGAGAAGTAGTACGTTTTGATGTTATTGATTTTGGTACAATTTTGTGATTTCAAATTTTCTAAAAGTTCTTTTGAATTTGTAAGTATCCAAATCTGGTTTACACCACTTCTCGAATATATAGTTGTACAAGTACTTCTGAATTTTCTCCTTTTTAAGTGAGTAGTAAAGAAA